GGGGCCCCCCATGGGCTGTTTCTGGGGGGCTGGGAGCTACTGTTGCACCCTGTAGGGCCGAGTAGGGCCAGGTCCCTGACCAAATGCACTGTGTAGATGCTTGACTGCCACCATGAATAAAGTCACCACTGGGCAGAGCTGTGTGGGTGTGGGGAAAAAGGGGGTGGTGTGGGGGGGAGGGAAAGGGAGGGTGCTGAGGGAAGAGGGTCCTGGGGAAAGGGGGATTTAGAGGAGGAATAGGGAGAGTCAGGAGGAAAAGAGAGAGCAGAGGGGAACGGGGTGCTGCGGGACAAAGAAGGGGTGCTGGGAGGGAAGAGAGGAGTGCAGGGGGGAAGAAGTGGTGTGTGGGGGAGAGGGGAATAGGCGGTGTTGGAGCAGAAGGGGGTTGCCGGGGGAGAAGAGAGGGTGTTGGGGGGAGCTGGGAAAATGGGGGATGCTGGGAGGAAAGAGGGAGCGTTGAGGGGAACAAGGTACTGGGGAAAGGGGGGTTCAGAGGAGAATGGAGTGTGTGAGGAGGAAATGGGGAAAGGGAGGGCACAGGGAGCACAGGGGTGCTGAGGGTACGGGATGCTCTGAGGGGCGGGGCAGAGTTCGCCGTGTCCCAGGGGGGTTTGCGGGGCACCCTCGGTGCGGTGCCGGCCCCGCCCAGCAGGGGGGGCCGTGGGACGGGCGGAGTCACCGGGCCGGGGCGGGACCGGGCCGGGGCGGGACCGGAGCGGGGCCGGGGGCGGGACCGGAGCGGGCCCGGGGCGGGTCCGAGCGCCGATGGCGGCGCCACGCGTGGTGCTGCTGCTGAGCGGGAAGAGGAAATCGGGGAAGGATTTCGTGGCCGAGGAACTGCGGAGCCGGTACCGGGCGGGGCCGGGGGCGGGGGCGTGGGCCGGAAAGGCCCCGAGGGCGAGTCCGGTACCGGAGGGGTGGGTCCGGTACGGGGGGATGGAGAGATCGGGACTCGGCCGAGCGGAGCCGGTGCCAGTGCCGGTCCCGCTGACCCCTCTCCCGCAGGCTGGGCCCCGACGTCTGCACCATCCTGCGCCTCTCCGGGCCCCTCAAGGAGCAGTACGCCAAGGTACCGCGGCCGTGCCACACCCCGAGCCACGTCACATCGCGCCGAGCTGTGCCAGGACACTCCTTGCCGTGCTGTGCCGTCCACCACCATGACATGCAGTGCCACACTGTGCCGAGCTGTGCCATGCTGCACCACACTGTGCCCCTCCCCACCATGCCGTGCCATGCCATGCCATGCCACACTGATCTGTGCCAGGGCACGTGCTGTGCCGTGCCTTGCCGTGCCTTGCCATGTGCATGCCACACCACACTGTGCCGAGCTGTGCCATGCTGCACCACACTGTGCCCCTCCCCACCATGCCGTGCCATGCCATGCCATGCCACACTGATCTGTGCCAGGGCACGTGCTGTGCCGTGCCTTGCCGTGCCTTGCCATGTGCATGCCACACCACACTGTGCCGAGCTGTGCTGTGCCCTGCCATGCCATGCCGTGCCATGCTGTGCCATCCCATGCTCATGCCATACCACACTGTGCTGTACTGAGCTGTGCTGACCCATGACATATCTCACCTGCCCTTGCTGTGCCATGCCATGTCATGCTGTGCTCTATGGCCCGGCCCATGTGCACTGACCCTCCTCTCCCTGCAGGAACATGGCCTCAACTTCCAGCGGCTCCTGGATGCCAGTGCCTACAAGGAGACGTTCCGACAGGACATGATCCACTGGGGCGAGGAGAAGCGCCGTGCCGACCCTGGCTTCTTCTGCCGGGCAGCGGTGGAGGGGGCGGTGCACCCGGTGTGGGTGAGCTGTTGGGGGGCACGAGGGGTGCCAGGGGGGCACAGGGTGGGCGCTGAGGGAGCCCCCGCACAGGTGGTGAGTGACACACGGCGCCTCTCGGATGTGGAGTGGTTCCGGGACGTCTATGGGGACGTGGTGCAGACCGTGCGGGTGGTGGCTACCGAGGAGACAAGGAAGAGGAGGAACTGGGTCTTCGTCACTGGTGAGCAAGTGAGGGGCGGCTTCGCCGAGCACAGCACCAAAAACAGGGGTTGACCCACAGGCACGGGTCTGCTGCCTCCACTGCCACTCCTTGGCAGTGGGAGCCAGAGGTTTTGGATCCAGCCCCCCAGCTCTGGGGGGGTGAGGCCACAGTGGGGGGGACAGACAGACAGATTGTGACTGTCCTCGGGGCCTCCCCGAGCTCTGCTGCTGCCAGGGGTGGACGATGCCGAGTCTGAGTGTGGTCTGGACCAGGGAGTAGCCTTCGACTGGGTGATCACCAACGACGGGGATGAGCTGGCCTTGGGCGAGCAGCTGGAGACACTGCTGCAGGCGCTCCACAGAAGCCTATAGCTCCATGTCCCTCCACTGAGGCTTGGGGACCACATCCCCCCTCCCCAGCCCCCCCAGCATCCCCCCCTCCACCTTTTGCCAGCACTTCCTGTTCTGGAATAAAGCTCCGATATGGAGACCCACTGCCATGCTGGGGCCGTGTCTCATTTCTGAAGGAGGGACACACAGGTGGTGTCCCCTCACCTCTGCCATGAATTCACCAGTTTTTGAGGGCAGAGGTGCATTTTAATTACTTCTGCCTGGGCAAGGGGGTCACCAGCTGGATGCTTCGTGGTGTCTTTTAATACGGTTTCCAGCAGCCAATTCCCTACGGATTATCTCTGCTTCCCAAGCCTCTACCCTGATATCCACTCCTCTCCTGCAACAGCTGGGCACGGCCGGGGGGGGTGTTCCTGGGTGGGCTGTGGGGTTGTAGAGGGGGATTAGGGCCCTATATATACATCTATAGCTTCATATCCCATACTCTGGATCTACCATCAGCCTGACCCCCACCTTGGGGACATGCTGGGGCACACACGCACACAGACCCCTGCCATCCATGGTGTGACCCACCCTCAGGATGGAAGCACACACTCCAGCTGCTGCTTGTAATCTCCAGCCTCTGTAAGGGGATTAGGGGGGTTCATACAAGGGGAGGGGGGATGCCCATGGGGGAACCCAGTGGGTAAAACTGGTGAGGGGTCGTTTGGGACTTGTGTATCAGGGCACACCAGTCCTGGCACCCGGTGCAACCCCATGCACTACAAGTCCCGAACGACCCCGCAGAGATGCAGGAACCGGGGGTGTGATGAGGGGGGGAGATACAAAGCGGGGAGCGGGCGGGGATGATGTCAGCCTGCGGGGAGCCCCAGCGTGGCCAATGGCGCTGCGGGGCCGGGCCAGCGGCAGCGGCGGGGGCGGTGGCGGTGGCGGCGGCGATAGCGGAGAGCGCACGGCGCCCATTCATGATCCAGCGAACGGGGCCGGTGGCCAGTAAAGCGGGACCGGTGGCCTGTAAGGCGGCGCCGGTACCGCCGTTATGGAGACATCGGGGCATCTCCACGATTCGGGCGTGGGGGACTTGGAGGAGGATGGTCGGTGTCCCTGCCCGCTACCGGGGGATGAACGGTCACCGCCGCCGCCCTCCGCGCTGCCGCCGCTTCAACACAGCCTGTTGCACTCCTCGCCTGGGTCGTTACGGGCCCCTCCTCCTCCTCCCGCCGCCCCCGCCGCCCTCCACCCTTCCTCCCGCCACGGCAGCCAGCTCAACCTCGGCGACCACCCAGCGGGCTCTGGGGTGACGAGTGGCAAACACCGGCAGCCCAGCCCCTTGGTCCATCGGCGGGACAGCAACCCCTTCACCGAGATTGCCATGAGCTCCTGCAAGTACAGTGGAGGAGTGATGAAGCCCCTCAGCCGACTCAGCGCATCCCGACGGAACCTTATCGAGGCTGAGCCAGAGGCACAGCCCTTGCAGCTCTTCGGTGCTGGTGGACCTCCTGAGATCGTTGTCTCTCGTGAGGACAACCATGCACCCGCCACCCACCGTCCCACCCGCCCGCCCGCCCGCCCGGCCCCCACCACCTTTGCCAAGGGGCCCAAGCGCAAGGCACAAAACATTGGCTACCGACTTGGGCACCGCCGAGCACTCTTCGAGAAGAGGAAGCGCCTCAGTGACTACGCGCTCATTTTCGGCATGTTCGGCATTGTTGTCATGGTCATCGAGACTGAGCTCTCCTGGGGGCTCTACTCCAAGGTACTGATGGGGCCAGGGGGGTGTGTGTGGAGCTGGTGGTACCAGACAGTGGCTGGTGGGGTGAGCATGGAGCTGTTTGCCCCATCTAGTGTCCCACGGGATAAACACAGAGCCATTTGGCCCAGCTGGTGTCCCATAGGATAGACCTGGAGCTGTTTGGCCCATCCAGAGCGCAACAGGGTTGGACAGGCTGGCAGGGGACTGATGGAGTGTCCCCAGGGCCTTAGTGGATGCCGCAGCCACAGGTGTTGGACAGGCAACCACAGGACCGGGGGCTGCCAGGGCTGTGTGCCAGTGAGTGCTGTGCCGAGTCCTGCCCCACACACCCGCAGCGACGGGCATCGACCCACTGAAGTCTGTGGTGCCTGTTGCTGCCATGGTCAGGTGCTCCTCAAAGCGCCCTTGGTGGTGCAGCAAAGCACCCCCTCCCTCCTCTTCCTCCTCCACACCCCTTCCTTCCATTTTTTTTTCCTTCTGTTTTTGCAGGACAGTGTCTTTTATTTATAATTCTCCCCCCCACATCCCTTCCAGCTCCTTTTCCCGGGCTGCGCTGGTTGGCAGTGATATGAATAACTCTTTGTATAGACATCTGTCATGTTATTTATACCTATCCAGAGAGGGGAAGGCATCGGCACCCGCAGCAGCACCCATGGGCGTCAGAGGGATGGCGCTGCCAAGGGGGCTGGGGGGCAGCCAGCGGGGGTCCGTTCGCCACAGTGCCACCGGTGGAGGGGAAGGAGCAAGGTTGGAAGGGGGTGCTCACCACTTCCTGCCATTATCCAGCCTGGGCAGCAGGGAGGGCAGTGTGGGTGGAGGAGGTGGAGGAAGGGAGGGATGTGGCTGGGGGTCTCGTTGGTGTAGGGGACCCTGCTGCCTCCCCACAGAGCTGCCTGGTGGGGGGGTTCCTGAGTGCCGTCTGTCCATGGCTGACAGCGACAGTGGGTGTGTGGGGGCTGCAGGCAGCAGTTCCACTGCTCTGTCCGAGGCAGTGGGAGGCCTTGGTGCCAAACTGGCATCCCCAGTTCCCCTGCTAAGGCAGAAGGATGCTTCACTGCCAGAGCCTTTTCCCAGTGATTCCCACTCTCCTTTGGCAGGAGCAAGGCCAAACCACTCTCCCCCACCTGCACCTGTACCTGTTGAGCCGCGGCCGCCCTTGCAGGCTCCATGTGCCTGCTTGCCTGGCACCGGGGGGACTGTCCACCCTCACCAAGCTGCCAGCAGCACCGCTGCCACGCTCACTGGCCCTGGCACACTGGGCTGCTTTGTCAGCTGGGGAAGACCCTGTGAGTCAGCGCTGCCACCATGCAGCAGCTGTGACCTGCTGCTGCACCCCTGCCCCACTGTGGTGTGAACGCTTGTGCTCACAAGCGCAGGGTGCAGGGGAGTCCCTGGGCCCTTTTCTCCCCAGGCCTTTGGCCAGATCTACAGCAGTGGGGCTACTGGGTGTAAATTCACCCCTATCACCCCCTGCTGGAAAACCAGAGCTTGCCGGCAGGGACACAACCATGAGCATGGGAGCACCTATATAGGGTCAGGACCAGCTGCTATTGTGCAAACTGGGATGTCAGTGCTGCTGGCACTGGCCCAGCTCCAGCTCTGCCCCATAGCCCCAGCCATGCTACCACATGCTCCCAGCCAGAGGGTGCCAGGGCTGATTTGGGAAGGGAGGACACAGTGGCCAAGGTTTGCCTGTTCCCTGTCTGTCACTCCAGTGTGGGCAGGACAGGGCCTCTCCTGCCTGTGGGACGGCACTGCTGCTTCCAACCACCTGAACGGCACTGCTGGGGTGAAGCACCTTGCCACCCACGTGGTGCAGTGGGACATGTGCTGCGGGTGCCAAGGTCTTGCCCCATTTCAGCCAAGATCCCATATTGCTTGCTGCGAGCACGGGATCCTGGAACAGCTCTTTGGACCTGACACTGGCAGGAGGCATTGGTAAATGTAGTGGGTAACATATGCCAGGTGAGCCAGTGGATGCTCGTGCATCAGGCAGGGTTGGTGCCACTGGGAAGGCTCTGGCCAGAGCTGCCTTGCCACATTTCTGCCCTGGAGTTTTCCTATTAATAGCTAGTATTTGGTCCCAGCACTTCTCTCAACACCAGCCATTATATCCACACAATTGTGCGGCTGGAGCCAAGTTGTTAACAATGCATCACCGCCTCCGCAGCAAATAGTCCCTTCTCCGCGTGCAAACACCCCTCAGGGATGAGGAACACCGGTGAGAAGGAGCCAAGGGAACCTGAAGGCAGCCCAGCACATTGGCGAGCCAAGGAGGGCCTGCCATGAGCATGTCATGAGTGTGCCAGGTCTCACCATGGTAGGGATGGGGGAAGGGGGTGTGGGACGGGTGCAGCAGCAAGGCAGGTTGGTTTAGGGATAACAACTTGGTGAGGTGCTGCCAAAGCCCTTGCACTGGTGGGGTCAGTCTGTGGCTGCACCCACATGAGCTTACCGGTGTCCAGAGGAGACAGTGAATCCTGTTTTTCCCAGTGGGGTCCTGGGGATCAGCCACTTCGGCCACTAGTGAATCAGGAGCTGGTTTAATTTACATAGGACTAATTAGCAGGAGGATCTAGGCCACCCATTTGGGTGCCATAATATTGGGCTCAGGCTGGATGGGGCCAGGGTACTGGCGTCACACATCTCAGTGAGGGGAGGCTGGGAACTGCACTCAGCAGAATTAAATTTAAAAAAGAGTTTTGGAGGAAGGGCCCACGGTGCTGGTGGTACCAGTGGTGCTGGATGCCAGAGGTGCCAGTGATGTTGATGGTGCTGATGGTGCCCTCGCTACCATGCCAAGCTGCTTAGGGTGGGGGCTGAGGCAGCCAAAGTGCTATTGAGGGGGAGACAGTAGCTGTTGGGGGTCAGCACCTTCTTTGGGGTGTGGAGCCCAGGGCCAAGTGTCCCACAGCTGCACACCCCCTAATGCCTTCCCCACTCTTGCCCTGCAGGACTCCATGTTCTCCCTGGCCCTGAAATGCCTTATTAGCCTCTCCACCGTGATCCTGCTGGGCCTCATCATTGCCTACCACACACGGGAGGTGCAGGTAGGTGCTGGCATCATCAGTGCCAAATGAGGGGCTGCTGGGGTGGGCTGAGGGATTTTCCAGCCACCTGGGTGGGACATAGTATCTGAGCTCACTACCTGCATGGAGCCTCCTCCCTCCTTGCCAGGGCCTTGGGGCGCGGTGAGCCGGGTGCCCGGTGGATCTGCTGGTGGCTGGGGGAAGCTGTGGCCAGGAAGGGCTTGGACCAGCCGAGGTGCCAAGGAAAGCTGTGAAATCCTTACCTAATCAGGGCTGCACATTCTCTTCCTCCTTGGGAAGTTAAAGGGCTCCCAGTTTGTGACAGGAAGGCTGCACTTCCCCACCGTAACTAGCTTCGGCACAATGCCGGCCTGTTTTGGGCATGGGAGGAATGAATCACCAGTCAGGAGAAGGAGCATCCCGGGAAGGGACGTCGAAGCTCCCAGTCCTGAGTGTACCATAATCCCAACTTGTCCCTCTCGGGGCTGGGTGCCAGTGTGGCTTTGCCAGCATCCTGGTCCCTTCCCGCCTCTGTCCCTGCAGCCCCCACTCCAGCTCAGCCTGCCTGCATGGGGACCAAGCCTGGGGGTGGGTTGCTCAAAACAAGTACTTGGGAGCTGTGGTTTTTGCTGGAATAATATTTACCCTGGGGTGGCAGCGGTCAGGGTCAACTGGGCGAGCCATGCCCTGGTGCTCGTGGCTTCCTTTGCTTGTTGTTCCTGGCAGCATGTTGTGCAAATACAGCGTCCACCCTCACAGCCGTCAGGTCATCCCCCCTCTCCCGCCTTGACCAGAGCCAAAATTCCACTGCTGTCCTTCTCCACGCAGAGACTGAACCTCACCAAAGTCCTGGCTGCTCTGGCAGGGCATTTAGACTGGCAAGGAGGGGAATGAGATTGGTTTGACTGGAGCTGCTCCAGACAGAGATATGCTGGCTGCTGATCACCCTATTATCTCTTAAGTGTTGTAAAAGCATTGCTGATAATCCAACTGGGGTGGAGTGGAGCTGCCAGAGCTGTAAATCCTCAGCTTCTTGTCCCTCTCACCCAAGGAGGGGGCTGTTCTCACACGGCCATGGCACTGTCAGACCTCCCAGCCTCTGGGAAACAATGACTTCAGTCTCTTCCCTCAGTATTCCCTCTTCCTCTCTTGCCCAGAGAAGCTGTGGCTGCCCCATCCCTGGAAGTGTCCGAGGCCAGGTTGGAGCAACCTGGTCTAGTGGAAGGTGTCCCTGCCCATGGCAGGGGCTTGGAATGAGATGAGCTCTAAGGTCTCTTCCAGCCAAAGCCAGTCTGTGATTGTATGACCCTACTAATTGTGTTAATTAGTCCTTTGGGATACTTGAAGATCTTTCTGTGCCTCAGTTTCTCTGGGGCTGGGGCACCCCAGCAATGTCTCTGGTGCTGGGTGGAGGCGTGGAATGTGCCATCCCTTGCCAGCATGCTATTATCACTACAACACATGAAGGAATGCAGTGCTGGCAAGTTTGCCAGTGCCAACCAAGGTGTTTGGGGAGGCAGAGCCCCCCTTGTCCCCATGCTTGGAGTGCCCAGGGCTGTTTGCGCATTTTGGTGAAGCTTTTGTCCCCATGCTGCAACTTAGTGGTTTCTTGGGCTTCACTTGTCTGGAGATGTGGTGGCTGACACACTTGTTCCTTCCCCTGCTGGAGCCAGTGATGCTGGGGATGCCCCTTTGAGTACCACTGGACCACACCAGGTTTCCATGGAAACCCACAACGATGCTTCAAAGGTGCAGAGCTGAGAGGGGCTGGCTCAGGGGACACCTGCCTGGATCCCCCCTTGCTCCTTCCCTTACCTGAGTTGGACTATGGCAACCCCCCACTATGCAGTCAAAAGGCCTTTTTCCTCTTGCTAATTTGTTTATTTTAACACCCTTTTCCAGGAAGGAATGGGCTGTCAGCTTGCTAAATGCCTGAGGATCTCCCTTGACAGCTTGGAGCATTTTTATAAACATTTTCTCAAACAAAGCAGCTAAAAAGAGCAGAGCTTTCCCTACAGAAAGGGAGGTGGCCGGGATGGCCATTCCATGAGTCAGTCCCAGTGGCTCCTGCTATCCCCAGGGAGAGCCCCAAGGGCTGTGCCCTGCCAGCAGGGTGGCTGGCACAGGTGCACTGGGGCCTCTGGGAGGGCAGGAGGATTGTTCCTGGGCTCAGTGCCAGCCGGAGCCATGCTCCCCACCCACTGCCCTGGCTGGAGTGACTGCAATAGGTCCTGGACCCCTGGGCACGCTTTGTGCTTGCAGGGTCAAGGACATGGACTGTAGCACCAGCTGCCACATCCCCTTTGATCCCTTCCTGGTGGCATCTTTGCCAAGTGCTGCTTGCAGAGGGGCCCTGAGAACGTTCCTGCTGCTGTGGGTGACACCAGTGTCCCCATTGCACCAGGGAGAAGCCGATGGCAGCCTCAGAACAGACCTGCCAAGGCAGGACAGGGTGGATGACTTCCAGAGCTCTGGTGGCACTCCAGAAAGGCCAGCCCAAGCTGCCATCCCCCCCAGTTCCTGCAGAGACCCTAACTCCATCACTGATGGTGGAAGAGGAGTTGGTGTACCCAGGATGAACCGTCTGTTGCCATGACAACTGGATCCCATCTCTGCCAGCAGCTGGATGCTGTGACTGTGGTGTTCCCTCCCCAAAAACTGCCCTGGAATTCAGGGTGTGGTGGCTGTCAGTGACACCAGTGCAGCACCAGTGGGAGCAGAGGGGCTGGGGTGGCTCATGCTGGTGCTCTGTGGCCCCACAGCTCACCCGTCTCTGTGGCCTGGGTGAGGGGGCCATTCTGGGAGGTGGGCTCCTGCCAGCTGCTGTTTCAGTGAGCTGTCCCCATGTCATGCCTGGGCACATGCTCAAGGCCAGGCACCTTAAAGCCTTCTGGAGTGTCCCCAGCACTGCAACTATCCCTGAAACACACTGGCAGATCAGCAGAGGGGCTGGTGATGGCTCATTCCCACCCTTTCCTACCCTGTCCATCCTCAGTGCTCCTGGCCATGCCACACCCAGCTCCTTTTGGCTCTAGTGTCAGACCCCTGCTGCCTATAGTGAGAGGCCAGTGGGGCAGGTTGGCTGGGGCCACCAGTAACCATGTGGTTTTGCGTCTCGGTAGCTCTTTGTGATCGACAATGGAGCTGACGACTGGCGAATAGCGATGACCTATGAGCGCATCCTCTACATCAGCCTTGAGATGCTGGTTTGTGCCATACACCCCATCCCTGGGGAGTACAAATTTTTCTGGACAGCCCGCCTGGCTTTCTCCTACACACCTTCTCGGGCAGAGGCGGATGTGGACATCATCCTGTCCATCCCCATGTTCCTGCGCCTCTACCTGATCGCTCGAGTGATGCTGCTGCACAGCAAGCTCTTCACCGACGCATCCTCACGCAGCATCGGGGCCCTCAACAAGATCAACTTCAATACCCGCTTCGTCATGAAGACACTCATGACCATATGCCCCGGGACGGTGCTGCTGGTCTTCAGCATTTCCCTTTGGATCATCGCTGCATGGACAGTCCGTGTGTGCGAGAGGTGAGAGAGGTTTGGAGTGCGTGGTGGTTCAGGATGGGCAGTGGTTTTGGAGATGGGGCATTTCTGGATGCTTGGTCGTTCAGGATGCTCAAGAGTTCAAAACGCTTGGTAGTTTGGGATGCTCAGTGTTCAGGAGGCACGTCAGTTCAGGATGCATGGAGGTTTGGGATGCGTGGCGGTTTGGAACGCTTGGCAGTTTGGGATGCACGGTAGTTCACAATGAGCAGCAGTTTGGGATGTGCAGAAGTTTGGGATGATCAGTGGTTCAGGATGTGCAGCAGTTCAGGGTGATGTGCAGCAGCTCTGGACGGTCAGCAGTTCACGGTTTGGGATGCGTGGCGATTTGGGATGCTCAGTGAAGCTGCGATGTCCCAGCATCCTGTGGGAGGGATGCAAGGCTCTGGGGCCTCGGCAGCCACGGGTTCCCCCCACCAAGCCCTGTCCCCAGAGCAGGAGGCAGAGCAGGGTCAGCCCTCTTCTCGCAGCACAGTGCCTGGGCCAGGGGACAGTGTGAGGTGCCAAGAGCCCCAAGACTGTGGGTGGGGGACATGGCGAACAGCAGGAGCTGGGGGACTGTGTATGGGGAGAGGCCAGAGGTGCCGCTGGTAAGAGGCGGGGCCTGGCTCAGGCTCTGGCATCACTGTGACTGACTGCCATGACAAAACTGCGGTGAAAAACCCACAGCCAGATGGCATCGTGCCAGCACTGGCATACCTGGTGGGTACCAGTGCATCTCCATCTCCCGAGGGCCTGCCACCACTCTTTGTCCACCAAGGGAGCCAGGGGGCTGTGGTGGTGGCATCCCCAGTGCTGTGCCAGCGGGTTTTCTCCATGGCCATGGTGCAAGGTGCCGGCAGCAGATGTTCGTCCCAGGGCAGGGAAGGCAGGTCTCCGGCAGGGTGTCCTGTGTCCTGTTGTGGCAACTTTGTGTCATCCTTGGAACTGACATGCAAGGGATTACACCCCAACTGGCATTACCCAACCAGGGTCACCAGGGACACCCAAATTGCTTCCAGGTGCTTGCAAGACAAGAGGAAGGCCACCCCTCCTCTTCCCCAGGGTGAGACCTGTTGCTCTGGTCACCCACAAAGAGGCACTAGGGCAGATGTAAGTGCTGTGGTAGAGGTATAGGATGGTAGCCTGAGATTTTCAAGCTTTTACAGGCTGTGTTTGCCTTCCTGCCTCCCTTAATGATGCTCTCCTTTTGAGCTGGATCCTTGGGTGCTGCTTAACTGTGTTTGGAGATTGTTGTTAGTGAATCCTAAATAGGGCACAGGCAGACAGGCACCTGGGACACACACAAGAGGGGCGATCTCACATCTTGCGAGGCTTAGGCAGGAAAACACAATATAAATAAAGAACCATTAGAGACCAAAAAAAAAAAATCCCAGAAATGACACAGACAAGGTGCTGCAGATCACCAGCACCACAGTTGGCATCACCTCCCTCTGTCAATAGAGTGGCAGAAGCGAACCCAGGTGGTCTGGAGATGCATCAGCCCTGGGGGAGGCAGGACTGAGGGGATGCAGAACCTCTGGGACATGCTCCACGTGAGAGGGACACGCTGTCCCTGGGGCATGCACAAGCCCTGGGTGTCACACAGCTCCCACAAGGGCCACCCAGAATGTGTCCCCCTGTCCCCACTGATGGCAGGTTGCTGCACCGGCACTGGAAACCAGTTTTCTCTTCCTTGCAGGACCATTCTCAACCAGCACCTGCCGGGGGCCAGGCAGCTCAGAGGTGGTTGTGTCGCTCCAAGACATCGTCCCCGGGGCTGGGGGTGGCACGGCCATGGCACATCCCCTCGGCACCGTGGGCTGCTCCAGAGCCTGTGGGTGCAGCATCCTCCCGTGCGCGCCGGGGGGCCGCAGCTCTCCGAAGGCAGCGAGTCGCTTAGCAACCTCGCCCGCTCGCCTGGCCACCGAGCACAGCCGCCTGCGGTGCCTGCGCTGCCGCCAGCGCTGCCGGGCCTGCCCGCCGACGGCGCGCACGTGCGCCCGCATGTGTGCTCGTTCGTGCAGCCAGCCCACCCCCAGGGCACCCCCGGGGCACCCACCGGGGCTGGGGCTGCCCAAAGCCGTGGGGTTAGTTCAGCCGAGGTGGTGCTGCTGCGGCGTCTGGCGGCGCGGTGCAGGCGGGGGGTGATGCTTGTGTCAGCCACAGCGACGGGGTGGCTGTGGCCTCGAGGGGGGGGGCAGGCAGGCGAGGGGACAGTGGGAAGCAGTACTCAAGTCTGGCTGATTGCAGCAGTCCTTTGGCATGAGCAGGTGGCCCCTCTTCCTGCCCACACCAGCCGTGGTGAGTGCCAGCCTCTGGTTTATCAGCTCCTTCTGCCCCAAGTGCTGGTCAGAAGAGAAAACGTCCATCTGTCCGGCTGGGCTGTAACCCCCTTGTCCAGCCTGATGCTTTCGGGGTCATCCCCCAAGACATTCCATCCAATGTGATGAGCTGGGCTCAGCCCTTCACAGGGGAATACACTGACCGGGATAGGGGGTGCATGCCACTGCTGGCACTGGGATTTTGGGGAGCCCCACTGTGGTTATGGGCTATAGCTCCCCTGGCCAGCTGCCCAGAGCAACTCTCACCGTGGCTGAGGGTGCTTTTTCCTGCACCAGGACCTCATTTGAGTATCCAGTTACTTGAGGGAAAAACATTTCGGAACAGGAGAAAACCCAACTGCTCTGGGAGCAATGAGCTGGGAGCCAGGACTGCCAAAAGCTCCATCTGTTTTCTCTCTCATGATTCCATGAAAAGGCTGGGAGAAGACTTGCTGGGGAGGCTGAAGGGCAACTATCCTATCCATGGGGGGACAAAGGTGCTGCCTGCCCCTGCCCGGGGCTCAAGGCCAAGTCCTGCTGCAGACTGGGCCAGGCCCCGCTCTGCTGCCAGGAGTCAACGCTGCATCCCCCGGGAAGCATTACTTGCACAGCTTGGCCAGGTTTGCACCAGCCCTGGGGAGCAGGAGATGTCTGGGGCCCCCATGTTTGCTGGAGGAGCTGCAGCCGATGTCCAGGACGGCCAGAGCAGTTGCTGAGCTCATAGCTCAGCAGGGACATGACCTGGAAAGTTTGCAGCACATCCCTGAAGCTGCAGCCACTCCGCATGTGCTGTGTCTTGAGTGTGTGAGCCATTCCCCTGCACCATCTGAGAGCCAAGTGGATGCTGGAGGCTGGGTAGAATCCATCCCTGGCGGTTCTTCTGGGGCTGCTGACGGAGTCCCCTGGGGCAGCACAGCCCAGGCTGCAGCAGCGCGAGGAACAGGGGAGGACGCCAGCAGTGGGGCTGCTGCAGTCGAGGGCTTTGCAGAGCCACAGCTGTTTCTCCCATCAGCCGGTTCTCGCCACAGCATCACATGACACTGGGGACACAGGGAGCGGGACGAGGATTTGGTGACAGGTCTGACTGAAAGCAGAAGCCCTTTCCATTGAGTTTTTGCTCTGATTTTGTCCATCCGGGTTTTTCTGCATCAGAAATTGTGCAACCACTGCTGCTATGGGACGTCCTGCTGTGTTGTTAATCCTAAACCCCAGCACAACCTGTGCCAGGGGAACCACTGTGCCCAGGCACCCCTGTTTCTCCCACACCCATCCCTGTCCCCTGCTGTGACACTGATGTCTGCGTCTCCTTGGCAGGTACCATGACCAGCAGGATGTAACCAGCAACTTCCTGGGTGCCATGTGGCTCATCTCCATCACTTTCCTCTCCATCGGCTATGGTGACATGGTCCCGCACACCTACTGTGGGAAGGGAGTCTGCCTCCTCACTGGCATCATGGTAAGGGCTGTGCCAAGCCAGCTGCCCATCACATGGGTTCTGCCTGTCCCCATCGCAGCAGTGGGGCCACTGGATTTTAAGGGGACCTATTTCCCAGCTGTTTTGTCCACGTACAATGTGTGAGGCTTCAGGTCTGAGGTCTCACAGCCTGGAAGCTGATGGAGCAGTCCTAGCTGGTGAATTTGGGGTGGATTTGGACCTGTATTCAGTAAGCGTGGAGGGAGCCACCCACAGTAGGGCCAGTGATGTGCCCAGGGAGAAGAAGAGCCCCTGAGCATCTCTTGGCCATCCTGGTGCACACCGTCTTCTGCCACTCAGAGTGATTCCAAATGCTGCTGACTCCTGCTAAGAGCTGGAACCAGCTGGAAGCCCTTCACCCCCTGCCAGCATCACTTCTTTGCCATGGCTTCCCTTCCTTCTGGCCAAAACGTCACCATCTGCCAGGGCCTCAGGCATACCTGCTCCAAGGTGCCCATGAGATCTCCCAGCTCGTGGGACTTGCCAGCCAGGGCTGCTGAAGGAGTGGCCAGGGGCCCAGTGGCCATGGCTCCTCCAGAGATTTATCCCAACATCCAGGACTCCGGCTCTGCCCACCTTAGCTCCAGGCCCTGGAGATGGAGCCATCCCTGTTCCCAGCTAAGGGCAGCCCCATGAGAGCCTTCAGCCATGGCGGCTCCACCATCGCGGATTAATTTTATATTATCTGCAAACCTTTGATCCATCTCAGATGAAGCCAGTTCTATTGGTGGGAGCCAAGCAAGGGAGAACAACTTCCTATGGGTGGGGGCCATGCAGCGAATCCCAGTAGGGGAGCAGCCACTGGCTTGGCCAAGGGGGTCCCAGTGCCACAGGCTCCCAAAGCTGTCCCCCAGCCCGTGGTTACTTTGCAGTGAGACACCATCCTTCAAAGTGTCCCCCACCCCCAGCACAGCAACACCTCCCCCCCCCCAGGAATGCAGATCCTGTACCCATTGAGGCTAGGGGCTCTACTGGGCTTCCCAAGCCACGGCACCAGGGGTGGTCGCCCCACCAGGAAGAGAGAAATGGCAGGAGCTGAGAGAGTGCAGTGGTCCCACTTCCGAGGATACGGAAGGATTCAGCTCAGGGCCTCATGTTAATTAATGACTCTATTAAATTAAAGAGCGCTTGCCAGGCTGGCATGGCTCTGCCAGAGCGCTGGCTGTGGTGATTTGCAGGGTCCTGATTTGGGGCCCCTTCCCTGTTCTCACCGAGGTTGCCTGGTGCTTCCCCACCGCTCTCCCACTCCCCCCTCTTTGGAGTGGGGGGCTCCCCATCCTACAGGGCACCAGCATGGGGCAGATCCCTGGCCTGTGGTGGCACAGGCTCACCACTGACCTTGTCAATAGCCTTGGTCTCTCCCGTTAATTACCCAGTCCCCCATCAGCCGATCAAGGACACCCAAGCTCTGTGATATCTCCTTGTTAGGGTAATGGGGAGGGTGTGTAGCTTTAGTTAATTAGGGGATTGCAAGGGTGAGGGTGTAAGTGCTGCTGTTACAAGAGGGTGACAAACTATTTCCCCAACTGATATCCCTGAACAGGGTGCTGGCTGCACGGCACTGGTGGTGGCTGTGGTGGCCAGGAAGCTGGAGCTCACCAAAGCGGAGAAACACGTCCACAACTTCATGATGGACACACAGCTGACGAAGCGGGTAAGGTGCCATGGGGGGGCAGCAGGAGCAGGGGGCCATGTCATCTGCCAGGAGCTGGGGATTTGGGATACCATGGCAGGAGAAAGGTTTCAGCACCTCTGGGTGTGGGTCCTGTGGGTACCATGGTGGAAGAAGTTGTCCAAGTGCAATGGGCGCAGCTCAGGTGCAAGAGTTATGCTGAAAGCAAACACCATCAAGCTCTGTTCTGGGAATTTAGGCAATGCAGGATGCTCAGTTACACCCCAGAAAGGAAAAGCCTATTTTTTTTCCCTCTTGGAGGATACAGACTCCCTCCTTTTGCAGAGCATGATCTCACTTCTGTTGGTGTCAGGAGGACAACCGGATTTTGGTAATTCAGTGCTTACTGCAGACAAGAGCCACACTGTGAGGCTCCTGCCATTTCCATTCCCAAGGAGGGACATAGAGCCTGCAATGGGGGATCTATGGGGTCACTGTCATGCCAGGGTCTGGTGTCACATCCCTGGTAACATGTGGGGGCTGCAGGAGGTCTCTGGTCTCAGTAGCCTCATCATGGCAAAACATTGGCAAACCAACAATGGCATATGATGTAATGAGAATGGAGCCCCCAGCAGAGCCACATCCCAGCCAGAGCCCTGACACCGCAGGGACAGTCAGGACCTCAGTGTGACTGAGCCGGAAAAGCAAACAGCTGGTCAGCCCTCTCCTCTGGCCATGGATATGGATCTCTCGGCCCTATGCCAGGCAGACGGCAGCCAATTCCTCCTGGAGTGAGAGCAGCAGAGATGCGGTTTAGCCGGGGAGCCTGCGGAAGTTGCGGACCAACCGGGACCTGCCAAGAGTGGCAGATGGATGCAGGAATCGAGAAAAACTTTGGGATTTTTTATTTTTCTTGAACCTTAGGGTACAATTTCACATGCAGGCGAGGAGCCCAGTACTGAAGCATCAGTGCAGAGCAGGGCGGTAGTGTGGGTGCCAAGAGCTCTGCCTGCCCTCGCTCTTGCTTGAGCTGCCCATCATTCCTTGAGAGGCCGAGCGCCTCGCTCCAGCTGGGGCCAGTCAAGTGCTCTTGCGACACCAGTTCATGGCAGAGCCAGACAAATGTCTCTGTGAAATCCCACATGCTGGGGCCTGGTGACCTGCAGCCAGCTTTTGTTTTGCAGATCAAGAACGCGGCAGCCAACGTCCTGCGGGAAACGTGGCTTATCTACAAGCATACCAAGCTGCTGAAGAAGATCGACCATGCCAAAGTCAGGAAGCACCAGAGGAAGTTCCTACAAGCCATTCACCAGTAAGGGACCACACACTGGGCTGGGGGCATGCTGAGCCCTAGATGAACTGAGGCCTAGTCCCTGGCAGGGGTGTGGGGGCAGTTTTCCATTGCCTGGGATGCAGGCAGCTCTCCAGCTGCACTTTGAAACTGGGTAGGTATGCAACCATGTTGCTCTTTCCTTCTCCCCAGGTTGCGGAGTGTGAAGATGGAGCAGAGGAAGCTGAGTGACCAAGCCAACACCCTTGTCGACCTCTCAAAGGCAAGTCCCTTGTGGCTCAGCCAGACTACCCGAGTGTTTCTCTTCACTCAGAAAAAGTAAAGCAGACCTGGCTAACCGCAAAATACTCCAGCTTAGTTGGTGTCAGCCAGGAATAGCTGCTGTGGGATGGCTGCCCTTGGAAGGCAGGAGGAGATACTCATACACAAGCCAGGGGCTCCCTGCACTCGCTTTTGCAAGGGGTACCACTGCTCAGCAACACAGGGCTGGCAGAGTTTCCTTGCTGTGATGTCCAGGGATAAGCCAAATCATCGTCACAGAAGCCTGGGAACTCTCGGGGCTAAAGGGGTCAGCTCTGCCAGCAGCGGCAGCACTAACCCCTCCAGCCATGGTACTAACCCCTCTGCTATCCCCTATGTCCCCTCCCCAGATGCAGAACGTGATGTATGACCTCATCACCGAGCTCAACGACCGCAGCGAGGACCTGGAGAAGCAGATCAGTGGCCTGGAATCCAAGCTGGAGCAGCTCAGTGCCAGCTTCAACTCCCTGCCACTGCTGATGGCTGACATGCTGCGGCAGCAGCAGCAGCGCCTGCTCACTGCCGTCCTGGAGGCGCGGGGGGTTGGAGTGCCAGTGGGCACCCCCCAAACGCCTCTCTCTGAGAGCCCCATTGGGGTTAGCTCCACCTCCTTCCCCACCCCTTACACAAGCTCAAGCAGCTGCTAAAATGCAGCCCCTCAGCCCCCTGTGGACAGGGGAAGCAATTTCCATACAGGTCACGAGGTCTCCGTGAACTTTCTTCTGGTCCTTGAACCGCTGCAGGACCCTTCAGCCGGAGCCGGTGGGACCAGCAGTGCCGAGCAATGCTTGGAGCTTTGCCAACGCCTTGGTATCGGGAATCGCATCCCTGTTCAGGTGCCTCTACACGTGGTGAAGGAAAGGGGACAGGAGGTGACGCCTCGGGCCAGCCCATGCTGTGGCGTCTGGTGGCAGACAGAAAACCCACGCTCAATCTCAGGTCTTCACATTTGAAAACAAAACAAAACATCAAGTCAGAAGCACTGAAGCAACGGAGACACCAGAGGGAGAGTTTTTCTCTGTGGGGCACTCCCCTCTCACCACCGCCAAGCCCCACCAGGCGGATGCCAACGTAGGGATTCCTTACACAGGCTCTGGCCGATGCTGCCCACGCTCCATCCCATATCCTTGCCAGGACCCACAAGAACCCCCCGTCACATTGCCAGCTGGGTGACGGTTCCTGGCTGTAACCTGCCTGGGGGGTTCTCTGGAGCTCTGAGTGTTTTCTGTCCGGGGAAGAACAAGGGAGAATTCTTTCTGGTCCTCAGTGTTTTATCCTGTCTGGAGACGTGCCAGAGCCGGGACAGCAGTGCCTACAGCGTGCAGGGCCGCGCAGGGCTGCCCCTGGCCAACGCACCGGTGGCCAGTGATGGGGCTGGCGGGCCAGCCCTGGCGCCAGAGAGTCTTCAGGTGCTCACATCACCGCCTTCTGGGAGTCCCCCAACACTTTGAGAAGGCAGTGGGTTCTTTGAGGCAGCCTCAGAAGTACTGGATGGAACACTCCATCAGCTCCAACCATCTCCACTTGTACCAGGAACATCCACACTCGAGCCCAGCTGGCAGTGTCAAATCCACTGGGGTCAAGCGGGACCTCACTGGCAAGTGATGTGGTAGCCAGGGTGGGTGCTTCATCTGTTTAAAACAAAGCCCATCGCCTTCATGCCACTTCTGCTGGGTTTGGTGGGGAGCAGCAGCACCCTCTGGAACCATCTTGGCAATGGCACTGCCACCCATGCTTGACAAAGTGCAGCCCCTCAGGCTCCATTTTACTTTTTTGCTGGTGTTCAGCTTCCTGAGGTACCCTGGGCATCATTTGGCTGCTTCTGGAACCAGCTACTTTCAGTTCTTCTTTCACCTTTTCTCCCTTTTTCCTCCTCAGTTCTGCTTTCCTGAGTCCATGCATGGAGCCGTGCAGGGCTCTGACTCTGGGGCTGGTGTTTGCTGCTTTCCATGAAAACTCAGCAGAGAATATTTATATATTTTTAAACAGATGAAGGAACCGCGTAATTACTCTGTGCTATTAATTACACCTCACCCAGCAGTGTCAGTAATTGTAATCAAAGTCACTGTGTTACTCCAGGTATACTCAGCCTGTAATGTTATTCTTTGTAACTTTTTCCCTTCCATAAATAACGCTGGATTTTGTGCACATGCAGGGGCAGAGGCACACCACCCTCTCACACCACCACCTCCGCACAGCCAATGCCGAGGAATTTCTTTGCTGCCGGTGGTGTGAGGTGGTTATACTCCTTGTGCCCTGCAATTAGAGTTGCATAGAAAACAAGCAGTAGTTAGTGAGGAGGGCTGCCAGCCCACTGGCCCCAGGAGGAGGAGGACGAGGAGGAGGAGGAAGGCTCCAAGGCAACAGCAGGAGTTCTGTGACATTAGCTCCCAGTGCTGCAGAGGTGTTGGTAGCAGGGGAGCAAGTATGGTCATCCCCATCCTTCATGTGGCCATTGCTCCTGCTCCTTGGCCAGCAGGAGATACTCGGCTTCTGAGAACTAGTTGCTCTTTCAAGCTCTTGTAATTAGTGTAATTGATCTCCTAGGATGGCTGGGAGTGCCTTGGCAGCCCCCCAACGTCTATTTTTAGCCCAGCTGCTGCTCCCTGTGTGCCTACGGGTGCCCCCCAGTCCACCTTGTCCAGCGGAAGCTCCTGCCCATCTCTGTTGGGAGGTTTCCAGAGTAACAATGGAGAAAAGGTTACAAATTCTGCGAAAGAGCCTGAAATGCAGCATTTTCCCTGGCCTGCAGGCAGCCAGTGGAGAAAAATGCTTCCTGGGCCTCAGATAGAAGCAAACTGCCCATGGAATGTAGCTGTGCATGGGGTGAGGTGCAGAAACGTGTCCTGGAGTGTCAGAGAGCCAGAGGAAGTATAGATACTCAAAGATTGATGTTGCCAGCAGGAATCCAGGAACCTCCCTACAGGCTCATGATCAAGTCTGGGAAATCCAACCAAGTGAGACAAGAGGCCTGCTGTCAGCTCGCAGGCCTTGAGGTGCTAGAGGGGGGAAGGACCATGGCGAGAGGGTTGGGATCACAACCGGAGCAAGAGACCCTTGTCCTGGAGCAGAGCTGCTGCTGTCGCAGGATTTTGACAGAGCTGGGGAGGTGGATCCCTGCACACCCCACACCCTGCATCCCCTGGCCTCATGTCAGCACAACCTGCACCCCAGTGACCCTTCTGCCTGGGGCCTGGCAGCCCTGGGTCTGCACCCTATGCCCTGCATCTTGCATCCTACCCACCCCTGCACCCCCATCCCACACTCACACACCCCCACCCCCCCCCTGCATCCTGCACACACCTGTATCCCCATCCCACCAACCCCTGCATTCCCCATCCCACACCCCTGAACTCCCATCCCAACCCCCAGAGACCCCATCCCACCCCTTGCAGCCCATGCACTCTGCAGCCCCCACCCTGCACCCCTGTATTTCACCCACACCCATGCCAGTGCCTCAACACTGGTGCCAGTAGCCCCGACCCATTGCTGTTGGCACTGGATTCCACCAAGGCCAACACTGAGACTAACCGCCATCCAGCCCTGCTGCCGGGACTGCAGGCCACGGGGAGGGCAGGCACAGAGGAAGCCATCAGTGCAATCCAGCCCAGGGTGCCCACCCAGAGCCACCCTGCTCCCTGCCAGCAGCCCTCGGTCACCAGCAGCCTCAGCTGGCAGGGCTCCAGTGCCTGGCTCCAGTAAGTGCTCCCCAGCTGGTGCTGTCTGCACACCTGAGATCATCCCTTTGGATGCCCCAAATGGCATCGGGACAAACAGAGAGAAGAGCTGGGATCAGTGACTAAGGTGGAGGAAAAGCACAAGAGCAAAGCTGCAAGTTCTAATCACAAAGAGATGCCGACCTCCTGCAGATGGGAAGCATCCGACCCCATGCTCCAAAAGGGGCCAGTCCCTGACGCCCCTCCAGGACCCACCTAACCCAGCCAGTCCCATTTTTGGCACAGCCTTGGGGTTTTTTTTAGCTCCACGACTCTCCTTCCTGCGCCGCCTGCAAGGAAACATCCTAGAAATACCAGAAAAATTCCACGTCCCCTCTGCAAACTCATGGACGGTTCTGTCCAGACTTAAGGAGCTTTGACCTGGGTTTGCAACTTGCCTCTGTACTGCTCGCTTCTTTTTTAATGATAGGGGAAAGCATAATAGTTTATTTTAACTATGAAATATATTGCTATATTATAATGGTTATGGTAACTTTCAATTATGCTTTTGTACCCAACACAGTTGTCGGCAGGCAGCGATGCCAGGCTGCTGCCAAAAATGTCTGTTTCTGAGTACAGCTGCTGCTGCTGGTGAGGATGGAGGACAAGGGGCAGGGAGGGGCATGGAACCCCAGTCGTTATCCTTCATCCCCCAGGTGTTCATTCCCATTACCTGGAAGCTAACCTCTAGCAGATCTGGATCCGTGTAGCCCACTGGCACCAGAGCTTTGCTTCTCCCTAGGAAAAGGTCTGACACCCTTTTCTCCCTGGAAAACCATCCCCACCAGGCTGTCTCCTCCAACTGAAGGAGTGACTTGGCTCCCTGGGGAGTTGTGCAAGTCAAACCTCCCCCTTTCCTCCAGAATGGAGGCTCTTGAGGAAACAGTGGTGCAAAGCGTGCTGCTTCCCTCCTCTAGTAAGGCTCTTGGCACATTTCCATAGAATCATGAAATTGTTAAGGTTGGAAAAGTCCCCTAAGATCGTTGAATTCAATTGTTAACCCAGTACTGCCAGGGCCACCACTAACACATGTCCCCAAGTGCCACATCTACACAGCTTCTAAACCCCTCCAGGAATGGGGACTCCACCACTGCCATGGGCAGCCTGTGCCAGGGCCTGACCTCTCTTACGGGGAAGAAATTTTCCCAATATCCAACCTAAACCTGGTACAACTTAGTGCCATTCCTCTTGTCCCAGTCTCTTCTTCCACATAACAAGTGGACATGTCCAGTTCAGGCTTTACTCCCTGCCCTGGAGAGCTGCAGCTTTTGCTCAGTCTCAAGTTGTGATGGCGTAGGAAGATGAAACCCTGAGCACAAAAGAGAAATGCAACAAGGTTGCAAGGACTGCTCCATCTCAGCCTTCCAACTGGGAACAGGCTGTCCTGAGTTGTGGCTGTCCCATCCCATAGAAGTATTCAAGTCCAGGTTGGACAAGGTTTGGAGCAACCTGGTCTAGTGGAAGGTGTCCCTGCCCATGGTGGGGGCGTGGAACGAGATGAGCTTTAACTTTCTTCCAACCCAAACTGTTCTGTGATTCCGTGATTCTGTGATTCTATGGACAGCTCGAGCCTCAGAGAGCACCTCTTCCTTACCTCCAGCCCCTGAGCTGCTGGACCTGATCCCCATTGGATTGTAAGTCTTAAACTGTTCTTTGGCAGCCCCAACACTTCTTCCCAGTCAGTCTTCACATATGGAACATGACATGCCCGGGAATGAGCAGCACCTATAGGATCAATTCCTGTTGCTTTTGTCCAGAGAAAGTCTAAAAGCCCCTTCACTGGCCCTTTCCAATCAGAGCTGCAGTCACTACCATGCTGTCACCGTTATCACTGTCACAGCTGTGCTGGCCTGATCCTCCCAGGCCAGTCAAACCCAGTAGGGCCCTAGCAGCAATGAGCTGCCTTGAGTTCTGGAGGCTCCCTGCTGGACCCCAGAACTGAAATCTCCCCACAGAAACCAGCTCTGATGGAGGAGAGGGGCTGGTTCCTCTAGGAGGCCAGGGCTAAGCCTCCACCGCTGCCAGCTGAGTCTAAGGGTGTCAGGGCATTTCTGGAGTTCTTGGCCCTCTGCACTGCTCTCCCTTGGGCTTCTCCGGCCCAGCATCTCCCTGCCAGCTCAGAGCCCTGTGCCATGGCCACCAAGTATGTTTGCTGGGGGGGAGGAGATTCCTCAGGAGCTTGAGAAGGGGAAGATGCTGCTGCCAGGCTCTACACTGGTCCCAGCTTCTCCTCGCTTGACTCCAAGCTCCCTCCTGAAAGGTATCCAAAGGCCTGAAGGCTATAGAGAGGGGCTTTTGCAAGAGAGAGAAAAAGTTTCTCCGTGGCATTATTTATTTTTCTGTGGGATGAGCCACCTCAGAGCCCTGTGGGGCACTAGGTAGGGCTCCAGAACCACCTGCCCGGTGGGTGCTCTTGGCCAGGGGCTCTGGTGCTCCAGGTGCTGCAAACTGTGCACCCAGCTCTGCTCCTTCTTCTGCCCAAAGTGTTCTTCCCCCTGCTGGGGTCTCGGCGCTGCCGACACTCCTGCCAGCAGGAGCTGCTTGCATGTCTCTGTGGTCAGGATCTGGCCCTGGGCTCACATCCCTCCTTCAGGGCCAGTCTCTTGGCTAGGGGTCAGGAGAGAGGACTGGCCTATGTGACAACAGCCTATCCCCATAGCATTGCCATAAACCTGAGCTGTACCCAGAAACAGGCATGTTTTAAACTATGGCTTTAACCTGTTCACTGTAAAAAGTGCCTTGGACTTTAATCTGAAGAGGTCAGTAACTATAAGTATTTACCTGTGCGGGTGTGTAAGGATGCAGTTCTCTGTGCAGAGTTACACACACAAATATATGATCTATACGTACCTGTGCCTTGGCCCCTCTGTTCCAACAGCCGTGGGAGCTCTTTTCTTTCTGCTGCTGGGGCTGGAGGTGCAGTGATATCGGAGGCGCTCCTGCCACAGGGACCCCTTGCCGAAGGGAAACTCTGCACTGCAAGGGTTGTGCTGGGTGCAGCTCAGTGGAGCTGATCTGTCCTGTGCATCCCCAGGAAGCAGTTCTGTGCTTCTCCATGTCTGTCTGTGTGCTTTGGGAAGACCCTGGTGAGGGGATACATCCCCATTCCCTTGCAGAGGGGTTCCGGGGCTGGGGTCACATCTCTGGACTGCCCATGCCAGGAGCTGCTGGGCACTTTGTAAAACCACAGATGCTTGTTTTATGGGAGCAGCAAGGGGTTTTCCAGCCACCTTCTCCCAAAAGGGAGTTTTGGTTCCCATGTGCTTGGGCTGTGGCTGAAGGGGGGAGCGTAGGAGGTTGGTGGTGTGGCAGATGCTCTTTACCCTGGCTCTGCATTGAGGCTCCCCATGCTCATCCAAACATCACCTCTAAAGAAATGAGGATAAAAGTTATCTGGGGTGCAAAGGGCGCAAAACCAACTTTCCCAGAGGAAAAGCATTGGTAGAGATAAGGGGAAGCTGGATCCTTCCCACCAAGCACCACTAAATCCAGGCAACAAGTCTTTCTCAGAGCCTGGCAACACAGCACCACTGTCTAAGGGACTGGTGCCCCAAAATCCATTCCCATATATGTGGGCCAACAGGAACAACTCCCATGGCTAAGCATGGCTATGACTATTGTGAAGCCAGTAGAGGAGAAGGAGGAGGAAGGTGGTGTGCAGCAGTTGAATCATGATGAATTGATAAATTGGACTTTTTTGGTTTTGAGCTAATACCTCTAAATCCTAAAAATACCTCCAGCAGTCCGGGGGACTCTCTAATAGGTGATTAAGCCCCTGGAGTTTCATTTCCAGTATTAATGGCTTAGTACAGCAGAGCCCTACTGTACAAAGGCAGCTTTAGTTCTGATACTGCCCACGAAGACAAGGCAAAATATATTCAGGCTTTGTGTGCAGCATGAAATCTGTTTTTAATGGCTCAGGATTAAAGCTTCTCCAAAGAGAAAGGGAGTCATAATAATCATAAAGTGGATTTCCATCTCCCCATGTCCATTTGCCTTTTGCTTTCCCAGTCCCGGGAGTGAGAAGGAGGGAGACAATGCCATTGGTGTGAAATTCTGGGCATCTTCACCCAGTCCAGTGCAGTGTGTCTGCAGCAGCACCGGAATGTGCATTGCCAGGAGGGGAAGTGCACTTTGGAGAAAAAGAGGGGGGAAAAGGGAATAAAAAAGAAAGTAGCTATTGTTTTGCTCAACGGCTTCTTACAGATAGAAGTTTTTATAAACAGTGGGAAGCTACTGGCCTTCCACAAGGGAGGGAAAAACCCCAAGCAAACAGCTCCACAAGGCAAGGGTTTGAATCGGCATCTGCCTGCTGGGAGTGAGCAGGATGTGGGAGTCAGCTCTCGGGGGCGAGGGAGGGGCAGGCAGGGAACAGGGGCTTTGGATCAGGCTCTGCCTTTTCACACAGGCAGGAAAACTGCTCTGGCGCTGAGCTACGGCCTCTGCATGCCAGCACTTCCCCAGTCAGGAGCCGGGAGCCTCGCTCCCTGTGGAGAAGCTTTTGCTCCCGAGGGGATGGGGTGGGTGGTGAATGAGGAGATGTGGCTTCCAGCTGGACAACCCAGATCTGCTCCCCAGCTCCTGAACCCAGGAAGAAAAACCTCCAGGAAACCCCCTCCTGTACTTGCTGCAGAGCTAAAACGAGCTGGGGAGCTGTTGTGCAGCTGTTTCCATCTCAGATGCACTCCTTTTCCAAGGCTGCTCCACTGCTAATTCATCTCCCCAGCCTTGGGATTCCAGGCACCAGCAGGCTCATTCGTTACTGTTAATTATTGGTGCAGCGGTGTGAGGTCTGCAGGCCAGATCACGCCTTCCAAGGGGCCTGGGTAACATCAGCCAAACAGCTTGGCTCTGCCAAAACAGCTCCTGGGTCCTCCTGAGCCCAGAAAGGGAGCCCCTGCTCCTTCTCCAGGCCACCCCAGTAGGATTCATTAATCGCTGGAGCCTGTGAGGGTGCCACTTTTGCAGGGTCCCCTGCCTCGTGGTGACAGCAGGGCTGAGGGTCCCCTGCCCAGGGGTGACAGCAGGGCTGGGGTTGTGTGCAAGGGCTGCTGGGTGTCTTTTACCTTCTGGGCTTCCTGCTCAGCCGTATCGTTTGCATATCAGCTTCCTCTTCTCTCCCTGCAATTCCCGGGAACACCCATGAAGGATGCAGCTGCCTGATGAGATGCCAGGCTAGTGTTTAATGGTATTTGTGTCCCTGTGCATACTAATGGGATGGAAGAAACCACCTGTTTCCCACAGCCTGCTGGCCTGGTGCTCGCATTATAAGAAAGGTTTCTCAGCAGGGACTGGCTGGCAAATGACATTTTGCTACTTACATGGGTATTTGGGGGTTTCCTGCTGGGGAGCAGCAGCTGTGATGGAGCAACAAGAGTCATCACAAGCCAGCTGGTGGCGGGGGCTTTGCTGCAAAACCTGTAGACAAGTTGTCACTTCATCCACGATGATATTTCAATAGAACCAGCGACCCAGGGCCAGGAGT